TGTGTATCACCAAAATAGAAAGATTTCCCATATCACACCTAAAAATGGTTGTTAGACGTACATACTAGCAATGGATGGGGACCTCTGGGATCTGGGATATTAAGTTACCTTCCCTGCTCAAAGCAGAAACTGAGGTTCATGGCAACCCCATACGTGGGCCTGAAAAGAACCATTGGCACTTTGGCTGATGTAGCCAATAATTGTAATTTTTTATGGTTTTCATGGTTTAACATCAGAAAACATGTCCTTACTCTGCACTGTTAGAAACGTTCACTCTTCCTTGGTGCTTCCGGCCACACCTCCACCTCCATGTTCAATGCACCATGAGAGAGATTCATGTGGAAATACGACTGAGCAACCATCCATGCTAGGCTCTTGCCGGCACTTGCTCCGTGCCGACCCCGGCCACCCATCAGCCCGCACCTTGCTTGTCCAGAGCCAGTCATGCTGTGCTCAGGTGAAGCTGAGATTTATGATTGAAATGCAGGCGATTTTGTAACTCTTATCTGTTGGGCAAAGGAGTTAATAATTCATGATGCATAACAGCATTCCTGGCCCAACGGCCCAGCAGGTTATGAAAAGATGTTTGAAACCAGCTGGGGTTACAGGAGACCTTCCTGAGCTGCACAAGGACTCATGCATATGGTGCTCTGTGCACCCCAGGCTCCCATGACACTGGGAAAGCTGTGGGTTCTTGGGGACAAGGCTTCGGGAACGGGGTTATCGTGGTGAGGGATCATGTCTTAGAGCAATTGTGTTTTGGACATTAGAATTTTGTGTCCTATAACTCAGGTTACACAGTCCTTTCCAGGTTTCTTTTAGGATCACAGGAATGACACCTTGAACATCTCTAGGCATGGACTGTACTGATGGGGCCGCTTTGCCCACCTCTGTGGATTTTGGCCAGCGTTCATCTTCTAGATGCTAAATGCAACATCACATGCTCTACATGTTGTTTTTTAGAGATCAGTAAACTGAAGTGGAACTGTGGGGGGGGTGTGGAGACATGCGGGACAGGTGCCTAATTTGTGCTGGGACAAGGCAGGGCTATCAGAGAGGAGGGAGAGACACCTCCCCTGGGGTGGAAGGTGGGTATGTCAGTTGAGTGAGAGAGGCTGGACATCCAGCGAAGGTTCAGCCATGAGCCCAAGCCAAAGTTCCGCCACGAGTCTGCCTGTTTGAACACGGCTGCTGTAGAAATTGGGTGTCTGAGGACGAGCAGCAGGGATGGCGAGAGATGGGGTTTCCTGGCTGGGAAGGGGCTACACCACAGAGGCCTGGTGGCCAGATCAAAATCTGGACACTGATCTAAGGTTCCCCAGGAATTCACTGAGGGCTCTGTGCTAGGAAGCCACTTGCACAGCTAAGCAATACTGCCAATGAGGGAAGATGGTTTGGGTGTGGGCCACAGAGAGAGGGTATGTGGCCTGGAAGTCAGGTAAGGGGCTGCTTACCCATGGGAGAAGGAATGATAGCCTGAGGAGGGAAGAGAAAAATGTAGATGATGTATACAGTGTTTGGTGAACAGAAGTGCAAGCTGATGAGTGTGTGCTATGGGGGGATGGAGAGGGACAGGTCATGATGACCCTCGGGATCTGGCTTGGACAGCTGGATAAGGGGTGGCATCAGCACTCAGTGGAACACTGAAGAAGCATGATGTTTGGAGGCACAGAGTCAAGAGGCTTAAATCTAAAGATATTTTGGAAATCATAGAAGTATAAAATCCTAAAGTTGAGAAGAATCTCAAGCATGACATCTATGGAAGTTTCCACCTCAAAGCAGGGATCTCTTTCTCACCATAGAGAAGAGAATCCTGCTCCTGCTTCTGTTCCATCTTTCAGGAATGAGACCCTTGCCCATTCACCAAATGCTTCATCAGTGTCCTCTTTTCCATCCAGATTTCTACCACGAATCTTCATATTTCCTGCTTTAGGTTTAGGCACACTTTATCCCCATACTCCAACAAGTACTCAGTGAATTCCCTTCATTGGCTCTCCTCTAGGCTAACGTCTGTTCTCTTAGCAGTTGTTTAGAGGTCAAGGCGTTAAGCACTATCTCAATCCTGATTGCCCTCCTCTGCACCAACTGTGGCCAACATCTTCCCTAAATACAGAAGGGACCTGGTCCATGCATGATATGTAGGATTCATAACCTCCCTTCCCAAAGAAACTGGTGCAGGCTAAGCTCACTTCATCTGTGTGTAAGCATCACCAGCATGCTGGACTTGTGGTTTCCACCAATCACAAGGGGGGGTTTTCCATTTTCCCAAGAAGCTCACCTTCTAGTTCTTGGCATGGAATCAGGTGTCCCCACTCAAATGCCAGAAGACCTAGCAGGAGAGAGTTTATGTGTGTCCTTTGAAAGACATTGGGCTCATTTCCAGCACTTCCTCCCAAATAGCAAAGGAGTGCTAACTGCACATAGAGTAGAAGGAACCCAAAGGTACCCATTCCTTTGACTCCTTGAGAGAAATAGGGATTGAGCTCCAGAGGATAACAAGTACTTAAGTTCCTGCAATGTATGAGGCTTTTGAAGGACTATATCAAGAGCTTTACCTGTATAACAAGAGAGGCCATGTGGCTTGTCAGGACCCAAGTTATTTGCCTTTAAATTGATGTCGGTCTTCATTTCGACATCATTGACAAAGTTGTAATGCATAACATTCCTTTGTGAGGATATTAACAAACTTGTTTTACCCATTCCTCATTTGATGGCCATGTAGGTTTCTACTTTTTGACTCTTATGAATAATGCTGATATAAACATGAATGTACAGGGTTTTGTGCACACCTGTGTTTTTGGTTCTCTTGGGCAGATACCTAGGAGCGGAATTGCTGGGTCAGGGGTGAGTTTGTGCTTAACTTCCAGATTGCTTTCCAAAGTACCATTTTATATTCTCAGCAGTGACGTAGAATGGTCCAAATCCTCCCCGTCCCTCCCTGTCCCTGTTATGATGTCTTTTTGATGAGAACCATTCCAGTGGGTGAGAAGTGGCATCTCGTTGTGGTTTTGATTTGAGCTTTCCTAATGACTAATGATGTCAAGCATGATTACATACGTGTATTTTCCATCAGGCCATCTTTTGTAAGGCATCTGTTCTTGATTACACACGTGTATTTTCTGTCTGGTCATCTTTTGTAAGGCATCTGTTCAGATCTTTTGACTCTTTGGACCCAGTTTTTAATTGGTTGTTCATTGCCCTTATTGTTAGATTTTTAAAAAGTTTTATCTATATTTTGGATATCCATCCTGTGTCAAATATGGATTTTGCAAAGACAGTCTTCAAGTCTGTGGCCTCTATTCTCATTCCCTTAAATTTTAATGAAGCCTGAATTATCGATTTTTTCTTTCATAGACCATATCTGAAAAGTCATTGCCATGCCCAAGGTCAGCTAGATTTTTCTCCTGCGTTCTCTTCTGGGAGTTTAACAGTTTGGTATTTTACAATTAGGTCTATGATCAAAGTTGAGTTAACTTGAAGTTCTTTTAATCTGTAATTGAAAAGCAGTTGACATATTGTATTAGTTTTAGGTGGACAATAGAGTGAGTCAGCCGTTACATACATTATGAAACACTCACCCTGAATGGTGTCATTGCCATGTGTCAGCACACAAACTTATTACGATATTATTGACTATATTCCCTCTGCTGTATTTTTCATCCCTGGCATTTATTTTATAACCAGAGTCTGTACCTCTCAATCCCATTCGCGTTTTGCCCTTCTCCCCTCCCCCGTCACCTGGCAACCACTAGTTTGTTCTCATATCTATGAATCTGTTTCTCTTTTCTGTTGTCTTTTGTTTGCTCATTTGTTTTTTTCAGATTCAACATTCAAATGAAATCATATGGTATTTGTCTTTCTCCATCTGACTTATTTCACTGAGCATAACACCTTCTAGGTCCATCCATGGTCCATCAAATAGCAAGATTTCGTGTCTTCTATGGCCTAACAGCCTACTGTTGTGTGTTTATAGACCACACCTCCTTGTCCACCCATCTGTTATGACTACTCCGGTTGCTTCCCTGTCTTGACTGTTGTAAATAATGCTTGCCATGAACAAAGGGTGCGTATCCTTTTGAATTCATGTTTTTGTTTTTCTTGGATAAATACCCAGAAGTGGAATTACTGGGTCATATGTCATTTCTATTCTTACTTTTTTGGGGAACTTCCATACTGTATTCGTAGTTGATGCACCAGTTTACATTCCCACCAACAGTGCACAAAGCTTCCCTTTTCACCACATTCTCTCTAACACTTGCTATTTCCTGTCTTTTTGATACTAACCATTCTGAGCAGAGTGAGATGAATTCTCATCATGGTTCTGATCTGCCTTTCCCTGATGATGAGTCATGAGCATCTTTTCATGTGTCTGTTGGCCATCTGGATGGCCTCTTGGGAAAACATCTGTCCAGATTCAGTGCTCATTATTTAATTTGTTATTTCTTTTTCTGATGCTGTGTTATATCCACTCTATATATTTTGGTTATTAAGCTCTTATCAGATATATCATTTGCAAATATCCTCTCTCATTTGAAAGGTTGCCTTTTTGTTTGTTGACGGGGCAAAACTTTCTGAGTTTGATGTAGTCTCAATAGTTTATTTTTGCTTTTGTTTCCCTTGCCTGAGGAGGCATATCTAGAAAAATATTGCTAAGGCTGATGGGCAAGGGTTTACTGCTTATGTTTGCTTCTAGGAGTTTTATGGTTTCAGGTCTCACATTTAGAGCCTTTAATACATTTTGAGTTTATTTTGTGTGTGGTGTAACTAAGTGGTCCAGTTCTGTTCTTTTGCATGTGGCCGTCCAGTTTTCCCAACATTCATTGAAGAGACTGTCTCTTCACCATTGTATATTCTTGCCTACTTTGCCATAGATTAACCATACAATTGTGGGTCTATTTCTGCACTCTCGCTTCTATGCCATGGGTCTCTGTGTCTCTTTTCGTGCCAGTACCATACTGTTTTGGTTACTGTAGCTTGGCAGTATAGTTTGAAATCCATAATTATACCTCTAGCTTTGTTCTTCTTTTTCAAGATTGTTTTGACTATTCATGGTCTTTTGTGGTTCCATATAAATTTTAGGATTTTTTTTGTTCTAGTTCTGTGGAAAGTACTATTGGCCTTTTGATAGGGACTGTATTCAATAGGTAGATTGCTTTGGGCAGCAGGACGTTTTAACAATACTAATTCTTCCAATCCATGAGCATAGCATGTCTTTCTGTTGGTTTGTGTCATCTCTGGTTTCTCTCATCAATATATTATAGTTTTCCAGGTACAGGTCTTCCACCCCCAAACACTCTTCTAGCCCCCGATGTCTCAGTTTGCTAATGCCCCATTTGTCAGAGCAGGTCCCATGCCCAACCCAGGTTGAAGAAGGCTAAGCCTCTCGGTGGGAGGATCTGCAGGTCCCACTGCAAGGACATGGAGGCCGGGAGGAGAACAGGTGCAGGTGGCCACCTTTGGCCTTTGCTAGCACTTTGACTCTGATCATGGATGAAACCAATCTTGCCTTATTTGTGAAAAAGCACACACAATTTTTTTTAAAGATTTTATTTATTTGACAGAGAGAGAGAGATCACAAGTAGAGAGAGAGAGAGGAGGAAGCAGGCTCCCTGCCTAGCAGAGAGCCTGATGTAGGACTCGATCCCAGGACCCTGAGATCATGACCTGAGCTGAAGGCAGAGGCTTAACCCACTGAGCCACCCAGGCAACCCCACAATTTTTTTTTGATAGAATTGCAGTGTGTAAAAAATCGATCTGCTGCCAGTATAGAACAATTGGTAGCATCTAGTGGGTTTCTTAGTATGCAGTGGGTACTGCATTAGGAAACATTCTCTACAGACCCAGCAGGTTTTGTCCATGGTCTCATTTTTCTCCCAAAGGCCCTGTCGGTACCATGTTTCACTGTAGCAGGTTAGCGCTAAGACTCACATTTTCTCCTGACCGAATGTGGGGAAAAGCCGGTGTATCTGTTTTCTTGCAGGTGTTTGCCCAGCTACTGTGAACATGGGGGCGAATGCTCCCAGTCCTGGGACACCTTCAGCTGTGACTGTGCACACACTGGATACACGGGCGCGACCTGCCATTCCTGTAAGCCTCACACCTTGCTGTCTCAATTTCCGTGCAGTTCCTTTTCCTTTCCGTGATTTGGTGTATATGTGTCTGTATCTGTGCAACCATGTGTTGGAAAACAACAAAACCAGTAGGTATTTTAGAGACTAATTTCTGTCTGGTTTGGTTATTTATTTTAGAGGTGGGGAGGGGCTGGGGGAGAGGGAGAGAGAGAATCCCAGCCCTGTATGGAGCCCAACATCAGATTCAATCTCATGACCCTGAGAACATGACCTGAGTTGAAATCAGGAGTCAGACACTTAACTAACTGAACCACCCAGGTGCCCTTGTCTGGTTTATTTTTAATCAGCTTTATTTCCTAGTGATGTTATGACAGCTTACAGAAATCCATGATAACAAATAGGACAGAAAAAATTAAATAAAATAGGAGGCAAAGGAAGATACGTATAGGAAGATAAAATATAACAAATAGTGAAAAAACAAGCCCCCCCCCAATACAAAAAGCAATCTGGATGGCATGGTGGTGCTACTTGTTCTGTTCCTTGGGTTGGACCCAACCTTGGTTCTCAAGTCCTGTCTGCCAAAGAGGACAAAGTACTGATGGTCAGTGTTTATAAAACTACACGGGAGAGTCTCCGGAGCAGCACAGGATGGGAAATACCATGGGGGGTTTCTAGATGTCAGCCAGAAGCCAGCCAAACGTTCAGGTTCCTTGCAGTCTTGATGCTCTTTGATGATGGTGGTGGTTTACACACTGGGGACTTACCACATGCCTGTGGGACCCTCACTCTGTCTAGTTCTGCACGTTTCAACTCCTTTAGAGTTGCCCTGGAAGGTAAGTGCTTTATTTTCCACACTGTGCGCTTGAGGAAAGACAGAGGTCAGCTCCTTTGACGTGGTGACACTGCTGCCAGCGAGGGCTCTCGAACACCTCTCCATCCCATTTCTTCCACCTTGAATACCAGGCTCTTTCCTGAAGAATTATTTTCTCAATTTCACAGCTAAGCACACTTTGTTGACCCCTAATTCATTACTACTAGAAGCTCATGACAGAGCCCTGAGATCCTCACTGCTTTCTAATTACTAGCTTTTGTTGTCTATGTTTTTATTCTACTTTTTCCTTTTTTGGTGTATCAGTGACATTTTTTTTAATTAATTTATTTTTATTCCAATTCCATTCATTAACATGTAGTGTATTATTAGTTTCAGAGGGAGAGGTCAGTGATTCATCTGTCTTCTGTAACACCTAGTGCCCATTCCATCCCATGCCCTCCTTAAAGCCCATCATCCAGTAACCCCATCCCCCTACCCCTTCCCCTCCAGCAACCCTCATTTGTTTTCATAAGGATCTCTTATGGTTTGTCTCTCTCTCTGATTCCGTCTTATATTTCCCTCCCTTCCCTTTTGCTCCCCTGTTTTGTTTCTTAAATTCCAATTTTGAGTGAGATCACATGATGGTTGTCTATCTCTGATTGACTTACTTCACTGAGCACAATACCCTCTAGTTCCATCCATGTTGTTGCACATGGCAAGATGTCATCCGTTCTGATGGCTGAGTAATATTCCATTGTATTTTCACATCACGTCTTCTTTGTCCGTTCATCCCTCAGTGGACGTCTGGGCTCTTTCCTTGGTTTGAATATGGTGGACATTGCTGCTATAAACATCGGGGCGCACGTGCCCCTTTGGATCACGACATTTGTGTCTTCCAGGCAAACACCCAGTAGTGGAATTGCTGGGTCTTAGGATAACTCTATTTTCAACTTTTTGAGGAACSTCCGTACTGTTTTCATGAGTGGCTGCCACCATTTCTGAGTCCCTTCTTTTGTAGCATGTCTTCCTTCTCTGGGCCTTTAGAGAGATAGCATGGCATGAAAATTCACCGAGCAAAGCATGGATTGTCCTGTATCTAACCTTAAGTGAACTGAACTCAAGGGAAGCAGGCATCATTGTTGGGATGAGAAGGCCCAGGCCCCAGCCCAGGGGTTTCTGCAGAGGAGCTAGGAGGCTCTGAAGACAAAGGGAGGTCACTCACCCCCTCAAAATCCCATAAGTTCAACCAGAGCAATTCTACCTGCATCTCTATTTACTATTATGGTGCCAGGTAAGAACTTGCCAAGGCAACTATTTGGAAGGAGCGGGCATCTGGGCAGTCTGAGGCTGAGTGACTGGTGTAGAGTTGTAGCTAGGAATGGGGTGACCTCCTACTTACAGTGTCTCCCCATCACATCGAGCAAGGTGTCCTACACAGACTTAATGACTAAGGCACAGTTGCTAAAGCGTTATCAGTAACTCTGATTTAAACATCACTCCAAACAACTCTGATTGAAAAAGTCCCAGGTGTTATAAAAAAGCGTCTTTCGCTCGTGGCCTTCATAATTTGATTTGGTCGAATGACTGAACTGACTTTATTCTGATTCTCTGTCTACCGAAGTGAAGGCAGGGTAGTTCCAAAGCCACAGGACGGGATCAGAGACCATCAGATTTTGGTGTAAGTGTCCAGCGAATGTGTCTGCACTCACACATACAGCAGGTGTCTTCCTAGTGTTTCCTTCTCTGCCTCTGGTCCCCAGGCAGGACCAGCCCCAACCCAAACGTAACCACCATTAGCACTTTGCGTCTGTCCCTCTGGACACTCTCCTAGGCAGTTACGAGCATATTATGTATTTGCAGAAACACAAACATGAGTGGGCAAACTGCCAGCACATCTGGGAAAGCAATCCATGTTGTCTCTGTGGCCATGAGTGGACGGTGGTGCTAGGTGTGTGACAGATGGGGGCCGATCTAATTTGACACACTGACACTCAGCCATAATTTATAAAAGAATGCAGTATTTTGCAAAATCCTGGGGCAGGCAGACATGACTTTGATCTTCTTCTGTGAGAAAGGAGAAAACCCCTCTGCCCTGGCTGCCCCGCTTCTCTCGGACTCTCTTTGCTCTTCAAAACAGGCAGAGATTTCAGAGTAGATAATCCAGCGAGCTTAGAATGGTGTCTGTCCTCCGCCCACGCTCGGACTCTCTGTCCCTGCTAGGGTCACTCCGCTCTGTGGCTCTGGCCTGGCCACTTGCGGGTCTGTGTTCATGGATGCCAGGTCTCAGCCTTAGGGGGGCTGAGGGACCCAGTCCGCATTGTCCTTGACTGACTGCCATTAGCCACTTCTCAGGTTTTCAAAGGGTCTTTCCTGTCAAGGAAATGAGTGAGACACGTGGGAGCTATTACTCAGTTGATTAGTCATTTAGACTTATTCTGAACATTGATTAAGTCCATCATCTACTGATGTTAGTCACTTGCCTTGTTATAGCAAAACATTTATTGCACGTATAAAAAATTCAACTAAGAATCGGGATATGTTGAAATTACTGAGAGATATTTCATGTGTGTGTGTGTATACATATATATATATGTAATTTTGACTTTCTATTTGCTTGAATAATCATTTGCAAAGCATTTCAGGAAATTTCCTTTTAAAACACACATTATAAATGGAGTGAAAGAGACTTGCTGATTTATAAAACTCCTCTGGAAAGTAATGCATTGCACAAGTAGATCATTTTAAGTAAACAGAGGATATAATTACTGAGTAATTTAATACATCGATGTGGTTATTAGATAATAACAGATCACTTAGGAGACGAAGCCAGTGTACTTCTGAGGCTTAAACATCATGGGGCAGAATCGAAGGAGATAGCGTGAGGCCAGTTACCGTGGTTTTGGAATGAATCTGTTGCTAGAGCAGGCGGGGTTCAGATACACATGGTGATAACCTCTTAAAATCTTTCACTCCAAGCTTCAGGGTCTTCATGCTGCCTGACTGACACAGGGGAACACTCCCCTGGAGAAACCATCCCGGAGAGCAAGGCAGAATGAGTATCACTGGGGAAAGCCTCCCATCACTAAGGACAGGGAGGGATCCGTCCCACTGCAGCCCTGTCTGAGACCCCTGTCCTTTGCAGCTCTGTTCGAGCAGTCCTGTGACGCCCACAGGCACAGAGGGGACTCCTCAGGGTTCTACTATATCGATTCAGACGGAAGTGGCCCGCTGGGACCTGCTCTTGTGTACTGCAACATGACAGGTACGCTAATGATACACTTTACTGTGCCCGTTAAGCTTGTGTGATTGGTTGCTGTGTGCAAAACCATGAGGCTTAGCTCCGTCGAGTAACGTGTGTGTTCCTGTGCAACTATGCATAAGCAATATTTCATTGTCCCTAGAAACCCATTTATATATGGCGGATGGATACAGGTGTGTTGTAGGCAAGTTCTGCAAAGGATCAGTGCGTGCACCGTGGTGAATGACTGCTGTCCGTGAACTGATGCAACTTCGAACGCCTCCGTGTGTGTGTGTGTGCGTGTGCGTGCATGTGCGTGCGTGGGTGGGTGCGTGTGTGCATGTGTGTGCGTGTGCGTGAGTGTGCGTGTGTATGTTTTGTGTTCCCTTCTGTGCTCACGTCACATTTCGCCTGCAGAAACAACCCTCCTTTACAAACTTCCCGTGCTACTCTAGTGGTGTGGACCTGGTGGGGACTTTGACAACCTTAGAGTCTGACCCTGCATAGTCTGAGACACTGGTCAGAAAAGTCAGCTGTAAATGGTTCTCAGGTAACCCTGACCTGGTTATAATTTGCTTTCTCTGCTCTGGCTACGTGTCACCCCGATAGGGTTGCAATTTCTGGATGGAAGGAGTCATTTATGGGGAATTGACAATGGCGGTTTGTGACAAGCTGGAAGTTCTGCTGTGGTTTCTACACCTACTCTCACTGCATACATAAAACCTGAGCATTTTGGTGATGGTGAATCTAGTGTTGATCTGAATTGGATCAATTATATCTTCCAGTCCCAAAACTACCCCCAACTTTGCATTGGATGGATGTATGACTGCTGGGGGCTTTGGGGCAAGCATCTTATCATAGAAACTGACCAAAACATTGCAACGGGATAGGAGGTAAATATATTGACTGACTTTGCTGAAAGGTATATGAAGTGTTAAGTATGTAAGGATCTTTCTAGATATCCTGGGCTCCAGTGGTTGTAACAAACAGGCCTTCAACTTACTCAATATCTGCTTTGTTTTCATGGCTCAAGTGAGTGCCAAGAACAGAGAAAGCTACATAAAGAGGCTGGCATCCCAGTAATACATTCTACTTTTATCAATCACATGCCTGATTATCACAGAAGTCTGCGACCTATTAAAGATTTTGATATATTTTGTCCTATAAGCAAAGTTACTTATACACTGAAAAATTTCGAGATCCTGAGAAAAGTGAAAATGATCCCAGCTGGCACATTGCAAAGATGAGTACGTTTTCAATGACTGAAGCTGTTTTCTTGGTAATTAACTGCTGGCAGGGTTGGCAAGGCCGAGGTCATATTTATTAAAAAAAAAGAAAAGATATTTGCTGCAAAGGGCATGACAGACAGCTAATGGCCTGATTGTCCGCAGTGTATGGTTATACGAAAGGAAAATAGTTTAATCATGCAAGTGGACACATGGTCCAGGCCTCACCAGGAAGCCTTCGTTGTGCGTATTTATAAAGTGCCTTTGGAATGTACTGCTGGCTCCTAGACACTTGTTTTTTTTTTTTTAATCATTTTTTTAAATTTATTTTCAGCATAACAGTATTCCTTGTTTTTGTACCACACCCAGTGCTCCACGCAATCCATGCCCTCTCTAATACCCACCACCTGGTTCCCCCAACCTCCCACCCCCCACCTCTTCAAACCCCTCAGATTGTTTTTCAGAGTCCACAGTCTCTCATGGTTCACCTCCCCTTCCAGTTTCCTCCAACTGCCTTCTCCTAACTCCCCTTGTCCTCCATGCTATTTGTTATGCTCCACAAATAAGTGAAACCATATAATAATTGACTCTCTCTGCTTGACTTATTTCACTCAGCATAATCCCTTCCAGTCCCGTCCATGTTGCTACAAAAGTTGGGGATTCATCCTTTCTGATGGAGGCATCATACTCCATAGTGTATATGGACCGCATCTTCCTTATCTATTCTAGACACTTGTTTTAATACGAATTTCATAACATCGCTGATGTGTTTGATGGCCTGTCATTGCGGCTGCCTTTTCAGAGTGAGCCCACTAGCAGAGGGAAGAGCAGTTACGTCAAAGTGTGAAGGGAAAGCAAGAGCAGATCTCAGGTTTTGATTCTGGGTAACACAAGAAACTATCTGATGACATATAAGCCAGGGTTTTGTTTGTTTGTTTGTTTTTTTATCCTCGAGGCAAGAAGGATTCTCTAAAACGTAAAATCTCTTGATCAGTTTATGTAAGAAGAAGGCCTCACCGACTGTCTCCTGAGGATGCGAATCACTTTCCTCCCAGGCGTGACTCAGAGAAATGTCCAAGTAGTGCCCCACACTGAGGAGTTGAAAAAACAGTGCCCCCCAACACGGAGCTCCTGTGTCCTCAGTACCCGCTCTGCGCTGGGCACGGCGGTCACCGCGGCAGGGAGCAGAGGAGAACACTCCCCGCCCCCGGTGTGCGGTGGGCAGGTCCGCGCAGAACCAGAGCCCTGAGAGCTGCTGCTGGAGCAGGTGGATGGTGCGCGGAGGCACGTGCTGTGACGCTGAATATGGTGGGGGCGGGGCGCACAGGCCATGGATGGGGGGAGGGGTCACAATTTTAAATAGAGCCATCCAGGGAAGCACTCAGTTTGAAAGTTAGGTTTGCTTCCAGAAAACCCCGAGTAAGCCTTCAAGCAGAGGGAGTGCGCTCCCAGGATCCTAATCTGTTGGACAGACGCAAGGGGAGGGACCCGAGGGGACCCTCGAGTCACGCCTCTGGAAAGTGACAGGTTCAGGACTCCCACTGGCAGAGTAGTTGGGGCCTTTGGCCACCAGGATGTGCCCGGCAGGAGCAAGGAGACCTGTTAGTGGGGATGGGGTGGAGCAGATGGGAATGGAGGAGGGGAGGGAGTCGGGGCCTAATCCATGGACCGAATGTGGCTGGAGGAAGACAGGCATCTGGAACGTCTTCCATGTTTGCATCTGAGCCCTGGAAGGAGGGTGCGGGTATTAGCAGACGGAGGAGGCGGGTCTGCAGAGGAGAGCAGGATCCCCACAGTGAACACCTGAGGTTTGGGTGGCCAGCTGTGTGAATAGTTCTTGGGGACCTACTGGTCATAAAAACAAGTGCAATGTGTCATCTGAAAGCCCGCTGGGTAGTTAGAATCTTCTCGGCAATATGAACTTCTAAAAACATTTTGGAGAGTGACTTTACACATTAATTGAACAGACCAGCAGGATCCCCTTTGCTTTGGGGTGGCTGGTGGACATTGTCCAGCATCTCACAGCAACATGGGGCATCTCTGGGTCTCCACACCCTTGTCCACTGTCCATGGAAGGGCAGCTCTGCTCTCAGCAGGATCGGGTTCTGCGGCAGCATCCCAGGAAAAGCTGTGTTTTTATGAAGCTCCCTGAGATTTTCCAATGTACATACAGATTCAGAGGCCGTGGCCACAGGGCTTGGATCTTTGGTTTCATTGGCACAGCCTATCCTGTGTCCACCAAAATTAAAATGGAAAGAGGGCAAAGGGCATCACAGAAAGGAGAAATAGAGCCAACGCAGCTGTAAAATTCTGGTGCCGCTGTTCATTTCTTGTCCAGGCCACGGTTCTGTTGCTCCGTTTGTAAAATTGGCTGTGGTGGAATTTAATGACCACTGCATCCACAAAGGCAGCAGAATCGCTCACATGCATTAGTATTGAAGGCATGGATTCTGTAAATTAAACATCTTCCAAACTCTCTAACTTAATCTTGGAAAGTCTTAGAGCTTTAAAGCACGCATGTGTGTGTCTGTGTGTGTAGGAATTCATGAATGTTGGGGTAATGATTTAATGATTGATATTGCTATACGTTTTATTATCAGATAACACTTAACAACCATGTACGCCTTCATATTACTTTGCAAATGACCAAGCAAAGTACAGATCATTGTATCACAAGACCTTTTGGGTAATTAAGTTTTTAGAAATTTTCTAGCTGCCTTTCATAAAAGAAAACCCCTAAGGTTAGTATATTCTTATTCTATGTGATGAATAAATGTCCTAAAGTTCCATGAGTTAGGGTTGAGCTGGAGCATGGAACACGCACACGTGCACACACACACACGTGCACGCACACACACTCGTGCACACATACGTGCACACATGCACACACACACGCGTGCGCATGCACACACACACATACATCCTGCTTTGTTAGAAAGACTGTGGGGAGGATTTCCAAATAATGCTAATGCCAAGAGTTTTTATGAAACTCAAAGCCATAAGGAAAGCGCCGTGCTAAAGACCGAGAAATGCAGAGGCCAACTCAAAGACGACAAATAATTCCAGAAGCTACACTGCGAAGTTTTTAATCAAAAGTTTAAAACAATCCAAGGTGATCCAGGAAGGACCCAGAGTTACAGTCCCATGAGGTTCCCCAACAGATCTCGTTGTGATGGTGGAAGAACTAAGATCCTGGCCTCCTTCTCCCGGGAGGGAAGTATTTCGGCTGCAAGGTCACCTTCTCCATGAAGCTACCATGCCTGTGGACAATGAAGTATTCTTTAATTATTATAAACAAATACTCACACTTGGAGAAATATGCAAAAAACAAAATTTTAAAGCAATGGCTACAAGTATATACTTGGTAACAGCCTTCCAAACTCTGGTGCCAAAATATACTCTGAATATACTCTGTATAAATTTTAGTAGCTTTAGTATAAAAGCAACCAAAACAAACAAACAAACAAACAAAAAACTATTTTGAAGGGACTGCTTATGTAATTTGTTAACAGATCGATTCCCTTCTTAGGCAGAAGAGACAGAGGCTCTGTTGATGGCGGGATGAGAAACGTGAGCTCGATGGCTCTGCCCTCGGGGACAGTGGGGCCATCCGTGCCCCATGGAAATCCCCCGCAATTGTCCTCTGATGTGGACCTAGTTGTCCTCCAAACACTGGTTCCCAGACACGGCACCGTGGAAACACTTGTCTCAGGGAGGAGATGGCATGAAGGCAGAGCTATGACTCTGCATCGGATTCGTAAGAGTTGGCAGGGGCTCGGGGAACACGCCGAGGGTGCG